AACTGTCACAACGGGTGGGGTGGCTGTTCAGGAAAGAACTATTTTCCCAAAGGCAAGCTGGTGCAGACACTCCTCACCCCATCCCCGTTAGCACCCCCCCTCCAGTACTGAAGAACTGCCTCTTCAGTTCTCGCTGGCCTTTCTTCTAAGTCGTCTCTCTGAAATCGCAGCCACCCGCCACGGGGTCAGTGGCATTACTGCGAATAAACAAGGTCCAGGAGTTTCCTTTTTTGGCTGAAGTTAAAAGAATCTGAACAGCGTTCAGAAGGTCAAGAGGGAGCTTTGGAGGCTCTGAGAAAGCCTGGATGCCCAGAAGGTGGCCCTGAGCCTGACCCATGCGCTCCCTGTCCCTCCTTTGCTCTTAGCCTAGCCCAGCAGGGAAGGCAGAAGGGGGGCCTCGCTCTGGCTGCTCTGCACAGCCCTTCTTTGGGTTTGCATGTTCTGAAAACCTTGAGGGGTCCTGGGCTGCCGAGTCCCACGGAGCTGGGAGAGTCTCTTTGCTGAGGCTGCATGGGTCTCCGGAGCTTTCACCGGCTGCCCCATCAATTCAGCCTCCGTGACTCATGTCCAGTGTCAGAAGGGTGGTGCTGATTCTGCTGCCTTCCCTTGTGTAGGCGCTGGTTCTCCATCCAGAATAACCAACTGGTCTACCAGAAAAAGTTCAGGGTAAGTCCCAGAGAGCTGGGAAGGGCTTTGGGTGCTGAGACCATCGGAGAAGGCTGGACCCTTCTGGAGCCACTATTTGCATTGGCTTAATTATTTTCAGTAATACTAACAAAATAAAGATAATTCCAGTATTGTTGATTTACGGATAGAATATGCTCACTCCATTTCTGGAGTGCAGATGGCTTGCAAAATCTAAAATCAGTAGCGGTGAAAACCTAGCTCCCTCTCTGCCCTTGCTGCTGTTCGGCTGGCCCAGGACCGGCGGGTGGGCAGGCAGGAGTGGGCAGCAGACCCAAGGCCTTCATGCTTAGAGGGATCCCTCCCTTGCCTGACTGTGTGCAACTTGGCATCAGGCTCCTTGGGCCTCCCCTGCCCTCTCCATCATTGTGAGGGGTTCTGCAACCCTTCCTCTTGCACCTGCTGACCCAGAGGACTTGGCCCCAAATGTAGGGCTGCCCAGTTGTGCGCATCGGGGCCCTGTGGAGCCTCCAACTCAGCCTCCCAAGAAACAGCATCTTGAGTTGTGCTGCAGTTACGTGCTCAGGGCCTATTCTGTCTAGAGGTGGCTCCAAGCAGGCCCCGGGCCGCGAAAAGTAACTCACCTTTCAGGCTTCCCCCTTCCCTTCTTTTCCTAGGATGTGCCCACCGTTGTCGTCGAAGACTTGCGACTGTGCACCGTGAAGCACTGTGAGGACATAGAAAGACGCTTCTGTTTCGAAGTGGTGTCTCCAACCAAGTAAGGGGGAGTCTGGAGGGCTCAGACTGCAGGCGAGGCCCCGAACCCCCTCATTGCAGAAGGGAGCACCTCCGGGGCCTGTTCGCAGGGGCGTGTTGGAGGCTCTGGGGGGGAGCAAGGAGACTTCTTCCTCACAGGAGGGCTCAGGCAGATCAGAGGGCCCTCAGCCACGTGCCGCTTGAAGGGGAGGATGGAACGTAGGTCCACGCTGCTCTTGGCTGCCTTGGGATTAAAGCGAAGACTCGGTGGATGGCCAAGGCCATGTTCACACATTACTTAGTTACTGAATTAATCCGTTTCCTGGGTTTGCACAGTTTATTAAGTCACAGATCAGCCAGTCTGAATTTGCACAACATGCTAAGCCAGAAAGGAAACAACCTTCCTAACCAAGATTAACCTTGACCACGCTTAGCAGCTGTGCAGATGCGTCTGCTGGAACATTGTCTTCTGTGAACAAGCTTAAAAACTGCCTGAAAGATACTCTGCTTTTTATTCTTAACTGAGGTTTAAAATGGGAATGGTTTTCCAAAGTCAGTCTGGCTCAAAGAAAACCAAACTCAGACCCCTCTTCCTCTGCAGGCTGCCTCCCAAGGGCTCCTCCTTGTCCCCCCTCCCCCACTTTCTGGGTATCATTTTTTTAGCTTCCCCCCATATTTGGGGGAGGGAGTTATGAGTAGGAAGCTCAGGGAGACAAGCTGCTCCCATTTTATCTTAATGCCACCCCCAAAATGCGAAGATGGTGCTGGCAAAATGAAATTTAATGCAGCAGCGTGATTTGGGGCTCCTTTGGGGGGGTGACTTTAAGGCCAGAAAGTGTGATTTGGTTTCCTGCTTACACCCTTATTATTGGGGCGGGTTGCTGTTGCAAAGATCAGGTGCTCCTGGTGTCCCCAGAAGGGCTCATTTGCCTGGCCGTTGCTCTCGTGCAGGAGTTGCATCCTGCAGGCTGATTCAGAGAAGCTGCGGCAAGCGTGGATCCAGGCTGTGCAAACCAGCATCGCCAGTGCCTACAGGGAGAAAGGGGAGGAGGCCGAGGTGAGTGCCGCCTTCTTCTGGCCCAGGAGCAGCCAGTCTGAAACAACTCCAAGTCCTGCTAGAGACCTCGATGGCAGGAAGACGACTTAGCGCTGCTGCCTCGGGAACACAGACGAAGCGGTCAGCCCCGGCTGGCCTGCGACGAGGCAGACCAAGCCATTGGGGTCCTGGAGGGCTGCTGCCGGAGAAAAGGCTGGGGGAGGTTTTTGTGGGCCCGGACAGCAGCCCAAGGCACAGCCCCCAGTGTCTTCCTGCCCTTCTGCAGGTGGAGAGAAAGCGCCCCCCCTCCACAGGAAGCCCCGAGTCCAGCCGGGAGTCCAAAGAGAAGTTGCTGAAAGGGGAAGGCTCGCTCCAGAGGGTCCAGGCCATTGCTGGCAATGTGGTGTGTTGTGACTGTGGCCTGGTAGACCCTCGGTGGGCCAGTATCAACCTCGGGATCACACTGTGCATCGAGTGCTCGGGCATTCACAGGTGGGCAGGCGCAGCCAATCTGGGCATCGTGGCCTTTGGCCCTCTCCGAGAAGGAGCTGCCATCAGGCCACCACTGCTCCCTGCTTCCTTCCTAAGTCAGTTTCTTCCTCCTCTGTAGGAGCTTGGGCGTCCATTTCTCCAAGGTCAGGTCCTTGACACTTGATTCATGGGAGCCAGAGCTTTTGAAGGTACTATCTGTGGGGTGAGGGGGAAGGAGTGGCATGGGCCCTTGGGAGTCTGGGAGGGTGTCCCAGGTACTTGATTGGGGGGCTGAGGTCCAGCCAGGGCAGAGCCTCCGCATCACACCCGGGCACTTTCAGATTCTGCCAACAGGGCCTTTGGAGGGAGGACAGAAGAGGTGGCTGAGTTGGTATCATCATGGCAAGGCCCGAGAGGCCTTGACCCACCTTGGTCAGTGGTAGTGCAAGTAGGCCCTCTTAGGTTTGGATGTTTCATGATTTCTCCACAGCTGATGTGTGAATTGGGAAATGATGTCATAAACAGGGTGTATGAAGCAAACAGAGAAAAAATGGGAGTCAAGAAGCCCCATCCTGGAAGCCAAAGGTACTTAGCGCAGGGGGGAATTGTCCTGTATGTGGGCATGCTCAGATTTCTCTCCCCTCCTCCTCAAATCCCTCATCCAGTCCTCTCATTATATGGTTATATGCTCCATTCCCCATAGAATTGGAGTTGTAAGGGATCTTAGAGATCCTCTGGTCCCATAGCTGCTTGGTGCAAGACCTGCTTCAGACTGATGGCAATTTAGCCCAGCTGAAGACCTCCAGGGGAGAGGAATGACTGCTTCATAAAGCAGCCTGTTGCACTCATTGACACTCTATAATGTTAGCCACTCCTAGTTTTGTATCATGCACAGATTGAATAACCATCTCCTCAACCTCTCCATCCAGGTCATTAATAATAAAAAATGTTGAACGGTCTATGGGGCCCAAGTCTGAACCGTGGGGCCCTTGCTATTTCCCTCCATATTGATGAAAAGCCATTTATGAGCACTCTCTGGATGCGGTCGTTCAGCCAATTGGGTATTCATCTAGTAGTTATATCATCTAGTTCATATTTTATTTTTTAAATAAGAATATCATGAGATACTTTTTGACTGCTTTGCTGAAGTCAAAATATACTATGTCTGTGGCATTCCCTTGATCTACTAAACTAGTAACTCTATCGGAGAAGAAAATAAGATTAGTCTGGCATGACAAATCTTACTGCCTTGCTAATTGTTGCATTCCTATCCAAGTGCTCACAAACACACTGTATAATAATCTTCTTGAAGACCTTGCATAACAGAGACATCAAGTTGCATATATGCCATCAAGGTGATGACTCTTAACAACCACTTAGATAGATTTTCTGCATGACAATCTCTTCCTAACCTGATCCTTCAGGTGTTCCAGTGGTACACTCATCGCCACTGTAACCGAGTCCCTCCACCTTGCTGCTGGTCGTCCTCTTCTCCTCTTTCCTTCCACCCTTCCCAGCATCAGAGCCTTCCCCAGAGAGCTGGGCCTTTGCGTAATGGGTCTGAAGGAGGATCATTTGTGCCTCGAGGGAGAACTCTGGGTTGGTTTGTTTGATGGTGCCTTTGTTTGTTTATCTGGCTGTCCATTATATGCTCAGGGGTTTTCTCCAACCCCAAAGTTCAAAAGCATCAATAATCTTCCTGTCCTGCTCCTTCAACGTCCAAGTCTCTCTTCTAAAGAGGGTCACCGGGAATTCCATGGCTTGCACAATTCTGATCTTTGTAGACATAGACACATCCCGGCATCTGGATATCTTCTCCTGGGCCTTCGTGGCTGCTCTACCGAGCGCTCGTCCGCAGCTTGTTTCTTTACTGTTTATGGCTGATCCTAAAAGGCAGAAGCTGTTCACCACTTCAGTATTTTCACGGTTCATTATAAGGCTGGTTGTTGTACCTGTTGTTATTAGTTTGGTCTTCTCTATATTTAATTTTATTCCCATGTTTTACTATGCTTCTTGACTTTTATTACTAGAGCTTGTGGATCCTTTGCATTTTCAGCTATTAGAGTAGGGTCTTCAGCACAGCCACAGATTACTGAGGTTTCTTCCTGCAGTTTTAACACTAAGCTCATCTACTTCCAGTCTAGCTTCCCTTAATGTATATTCAGCGTATAGGCTGAATAAATACAGAGTATACAGCCTTGTTTCACTCCTTTGCCTGCCTGTTTCACCGTGTTCTGCCCATACTGTGGCTTCCTCGCCTGTATATAGATTTCTCATGAGATGTTCTGGGATTCCTATTTTTTCTGAGCACGTTCTGCAGCTTGACATGACCGTTTTCTGGATGTTGTACCCTTTGACACATTCCCTCCCAGCTTGTGCAAGACTTCCTTTTTCCTCCAAGTTTCCTTACCTCCTTTTAACCTCCGTGCAAGGAGGGGCTGCTATGTGTTCTTTGTAAAGAGCCAAGTATTGGGGCCTTTTGTGAGGAGGGGACTCTGTCAGTATAGAAGATGGGAAATGAGTCCTCCTGATGCTGGCTTGCTGCCTGTGGGGGATGGGGCAGAGATGCACGTCCTGCTGCCCTTCGTTGCTTCTGGGGCAAGAGGCAGGAAGTTCACGTTCCAGCCGGTTACAGAGAAGGGAGCCCTGCAATTGCAGTCAGCCCATTGTGCAGCCCCCCCTCTGCAGCCCCCGAAGTCAGCTGTGGAGTGCCCAGAGGGGAGGGCAACTGGCTCACGAGGATCTGTCTTCTGCCGCTGGAAGCTCTGCGACGCTGGGCCTGCGTGGTGCAAGCTAACCTGGCTTGTTTTCTGTACGCAGACAGGAAAAGGAAGAGTACATTAGGGCGAAGTATGTGGACCGGCGGTTTGTGTCCCCTGCTGACCCAGGAGGAGAGCCAGCCCTGACCCCCAGCCAAGAGGCAGAGAAGCGAGAGAGCCCGGAAAACGTGGCGGCCTCTCTGAAAGGTACGCAGGCTGGTTGCTGAGGTTGGAAACGGGACGTCTTCGCCCTCCCGCTCGTGGAGAGAGGCCAGCTCCTCTTCCTCCCGTCCTCCTCTCTCTCTCGCTCGCTCTCTCTCGGGGAGGTCTCCAGCCTCCCATTCTCTGAGGAGGAAACAGGATTCCGTGGCTGTGCTTAGAGGGCCGAGGGGTTAGCCGTTACTTGCAGAAGGAAAGAGGGTGGCGGAATCCCTGGCTTGGCAATCCCCGGAGATGCAGATGCACGCCCAGCTCCCGCCACTTGCTTTCCAAAGCCCGGGGAGAAGCCGAGATGCAGAGGAGTTGACGGTCTTTGCGCCTCAAGGCCAGCACTAACCAGCTGATCTCCTCCTCGTTTATCCCTGGAGCGGTTCCTCTTCCCTCCCTGTCTTCTGCCTGCACTAAGCTTTGCTAGCTTGCATGTCCCCAATGGTTGGTGTGAGTGGCAGCGAGGCAAGGCAGGAGTCTCTCTTCTGTCCTGATCAGCTAGATTTGCTCTTCTCCTACTTTGATACCTCCTCAAATCTGCGGAGGAGTAAGTATGCTCTGGGTGTGTTCCCTGATGTGCTGTGTGCGTGGCCGTCCCTAGCTGCTTTGTACTTCTTTGCGACTTCCAGTGTGGCTTCGGTTATGCACTGTACCTTGTGAAGGAGTGTGGAGGAAGAATCCGCGTCAAGGCCCCTCTGGTCCCTGTTCCGGCTCTGGCTTGCTCGCTCCTGTTTCTGGGGGTCCGTGAGCTGAGGGCAGGCCCCTCTGCTTCACATCCACTGCTTGCCAGCCAGCCTGCTAGCCTGCCAAGGCAACTGTCCCACACCCACGGGCTGCTGCCACCTCTAAGGACTGCTTTTTCTTAAAAACAGCGCCAAGCAGCGACCGTGGGTTCCAGCCCGGCGGGGAGGAGAGCAGAGAGCATTTGGTAGTCACTGCCCCAGCCAGCATCTTGCACGAACCAGGTAGGACCTCCTGGGTGTGCTGCTCTGGGGACCCTCGTTGTCTTTCCTTAGGCTGGCATCCCCCGGCCCCCCAGATGTTGCCCAAGAGTGGGACAGGAGCCTGTTTTGGACTGGGGGCAATTAAAATGTCCAGTCAAAATAAAAAGTGGCAGATTCCCAGCAGCCTGTTCTGCCTCTGCCCTTAAGACAGTTGAGCCACGTCTGCAGAAGGCCAGCTGGCCGTCTGTCCTTCTCCAGCCAAACTGAAGGTGGAGAAGCTGCTGCTGTGCCCCAGGAAATGCGGGGCAGGCCGAGGGCAGAGTGGCATGACAGGCAGTGCCCCTCTTCTTCCAGCGGGAGAAAGACAGGGGGAGGCGGCGGTGGCTTCCCAGGATCCCAAGCTGTTGCTTGCAGGGCTGCAGCTGTATCACGCCGCCTATAAGAAGAGCCTTCCCCAGATGGCTGAAGCTCTGGCTCGGGGGGCAGACGTCAACTGGAGCAACCCAGAGAAGAATGGCTTCACTCCGCTGATCCAGGCAGTCCGTGGGGTGAGCCTTGCCTGCCCTGCAGATTTGGGGAAGGGAGGGGCAAGGCCTGCCTCTGACTGAGAGCTCAGGCTGAATCCCGCTCTGTCTCTGCAGGGCTCCCTGGTCACTTGTGAGTTTCTCCTCCAGAATGGGGCTAACGTGAACCTGAGAGATGCCCAGGGCAGAGGACCACTGCACCATGCCACCATCTTGGGGCACACAGGGTAGGTCTTCTGGCCTTGGGGGCGGGAGCCGCAGCTTCGTCCATCCAGCTTTTCCGCAGGCATCTGGGGTCCCGGTAGGATTCCCGAGAGTGCCGGAGGCTGCAGCCAGGGGAGTCCCTGCGGGAGAGAAGATGGTGGTCCTGGCAAGTGCCTGCTTGAAAACGAGGGCAGGCTGGTCACCCCTTGGCCCGGCTCTGGCGTTGTGCTGAGCCCTTGTGGAGTCATCCAACAAAGGAGCCTCACAGTGGCTTCGCGCAGCAATCAAACCAGCTGTTTGCAGCACAGATCCTCCATCTGCTCCAGCTTACAAGCAAGCTGAGCCCCCTTATTTGCTGCACTGCCTTTGGCTTCCTTTCTCTCAGCTGGGATCGTTTGCCAGAACCTGGGTGCGGAGGAGAGTTATCGCTATCCCTTTCAGAAATCCAGATGTAAAAACGGGCATCTGATCCCCAAATCTCCCGCAAAGCCTAACCTTCTTGTGGAAGGAATTGACCACTCTGTGGTTCCCTTGAACAGGCAGGTGTGTTTGTTCCTGAAAAGGGGTGCGAACCAGCACGCCAGAGACGAGGACGGGAAGGACCCTCTAAGCGTCGCCATAGAAGCAGCCAACGCTGACATTGTGACCCTGTAAGAACGGGGATTTGCATTCTCCGGGCAGGGGGCCAGGGGAGGACTGGGGGCCACAGCGCAGGGCCCGGCCTCTGCCCGTGAAGACCAGCTCGGCTCTGCTCAGAGCAGTTTCTTCCCTTCTGCGAGAAGCGACAGGATGGGGGTCTGTTTGGGGCTGGGCAGAGGTTCGGGCCACGCGCTGTGACCCCCAGGGCCAGGCCGCCAGGGATTCCAGGCCGAGGGAGGTGGGACGAGCATCTCTTTTCTTTCTGTGCAGGTTGCGCCTAGCCAGGATGAACGAAGAGATGCGGGAGGCGGAAGGCCTCTACGGCCAGCCAGGTCTGCCTGCCGACAGCCCCACGGAGATGCAGTACAGGAAGTGCATTCAGGAATTCCTCAGCAGGCAGCTAGACAAGTTGTAGTGTTTGGGAGGCGGTTTTCAGGGCTCGGGAGGACCCTCATCCAGATGGCAGCAGGGGCTGGGGGCTCCCTGATCAGCAGCAGATGCTCAGGGCTGCTTTCTGGGATTCTGGTTCCCAAGCCAGGCTTGCTTCCAACAAACCCCAACTTCTGCTTGACACGGGGGCGGGGGGGCACAGGGAAAACTTTGCAAGACCAGCTCCCATTGACCATCTGTTCCCCCCCGCTTGGCTGAACTCCCCCTTGGGCTCCTGAGAACACCAAGCCCTGCCCGGCTCTGCAGCCTGCCCCACTGCGGCCGCTACAGCAGACTTCCTTGCTTCCTTGGCTGCGGGGCCCGTGGCCCTGCCCGTTTCTGTGCTGAGCAGCTCGCTTCCAGCCATCAGGACGGGTCTGC